AAACTCGTGCTTTTAAACTCGTCCGCAGCACATATCCGCGCTTTACGCCCTGAGGAAAGTCGCAGAATGGCGACTGAAACGTCGGCACCTTCGCCATGGACGCGGCGTCACCCGGACAGCCTAGTAAAGTCTAATGACACCTCTTCACCTGGGCGCTGGCAGGCGGCCGCTGGCGCCTGCGGAGAAGCTGTACAAGCTTGTCAATACTCAATCCTTTCAATTGTTTTATGGCCCATGAGTTCTGTGCCCTTCGTACATGCTTCGGCGGGGGTGCTGGAGCCGTGAGAGAGACTCGGGCTGGCACATTTCGCATGAACTACTTTGTTGCTCATTTGTAATGTGTTCAATGCGCAGATGCGCTCTGGACATGGTAGGAGAATTTCCTAAGAGTGGAAGTGAAATAACGTGAGTAGGCCGATGGCCACGCGGGCGAAAGGCACTTATTGTCTGAGTCGAGGTAGTGATCGCGAGATTGAGCAAAAATCACAGTATCCTTTCATTGCTGAGTATAGATTCTCTGCAGCATAGATTCGCTAGTGAGCGGCTGTTTCCCATTAAAAGTATGAGAAAGGTTGAGTGCCTGTACAACAAATATAAACTGAGTGTGGTATAATATTGAACGTAATTTGCTTGTTGAAACCTGATCTAATGCAACAATATATTGTTTATATTTATTCGTGGTACCCCAGATAACAAGTCAAAACATGCTAACTATCAACCTTTAACCCGTTTGGACATGACCATGATCGTGACCTTCATGTTAACCCTAAAACTACTTTATCGACCACCCCTACCACTAATCTCTTCTACCATTAACACTTTTTTTTCGATTATTGCAAAGTTCAGCTGTAGTTGATATAATTAATGTGAGAAGTATCACTTTTAAACTATTTTTTTCAAACAAAAAAACGTAATAGTATCTTATATGTTAATTAGGAATTTTACGATAAACACAAAGAAAAAATTGTGTGTACGAAAAGCAAATGAGATGGAACATTGGTTTTAGTTTTTACCAAGTTGAAATCTATACGAAAATACACAAATATCCTTTGCAGATTTTTACTTGCAGACCTGTGTAATTATTCGTCTGTCGCTATGAGCATATTGGTTTTTAATATGTTTATATATATTTCGCTAGAAGCCAGTAGCGATGCGACAGAACTGGTACCTAAAACCAAATACTATAGAGACAATACATAGCACTCGGCGATGTAACGGAAGGCACTTGACGCTAGCGACTCTAGTGACCCGACCTTCCATAACCATTGTGATATCAGAGGCACTAGAGACAAATTTTGGGAGGGAAATTAAAAATGTTTTGCTCGAAAGTGTCATATATATTGTATGAAATCTCGCAGGCAACACTCAACTCATGCTGAGATACAATTTTATTCGTTTTAATGATTATCCGAAAATATTTCTGTTTGAAAGGTTCGTGAAGAATTAAAATTAATAGTTACTAAACATTTTAGAGGGGAGATTACCCTAATTTTAATCCCCGTGTATCCGCGCTTGTGATATGAAGAGCAAAGTTTATAACTCTGAAAGATTTGTAGTTTACTGACGATTATGTTTACTTACGTTTCTCAATGTGATCCGAAAGTTATTTTATGTGTACTGGAATTTGAATAAGTCGCCAATTTTCTTGACTGTAAAACGAAGTACACGCCTACAAAGTATTCGCTAATACTTAGTTTCTAATATATATCGCCAGAGACCAGTAGCGGTGCAGTATATCTGGTATCTAATAGTTTCTCTAGAGGCCAATATCATTGAGTAAAAAGAACATTTTTAACCTAGTAGCAAAGTACTGTAAAATAAGATAAAAGATAATAGTATTTTATTAACATTTGAACTAATAACATTACAATTAATCTTAAACACCGTGGTAAATAAAAAATTGATCTTTCTCCTCTAACAATGATGGATATGAAGAATGCTTGAGGAGAGGCGGGTATTTTACATAATCATTTCATCTAGTGAGGTATAGTCAAAAGGGTCTGCTCAGTGGTTTGGCGCAGGAGCGCCCACGCGCGTGGACAATAAGACTGTGATGTCGAATCCCGCGCAAGGCCTGGGTTTTCAGTTGTTTGTGACAAAGAAGTCATTCTTATTCCCCCGTGAATCTCTTCTACTCACCAGTCTTTACCTATCCCTTACCGTTACAGTTGTGAGACCTGGCTGTGTGCGAAAACCGTGTAATCTGTCTACATAATTGAGAAACTGGAATCCTACACCCAGAATAATGACATAAGCACCGATGTTGACCCACGTGCTAATAGAACCATGTATGTACTATAGGACTGAGATAAGTCAAAAGGTGTGATGTTTGGTGGGAGCAACTCTCACTGAGAACTGTCCTTAGGGCAGTGATAGTCTCCATAGGAGAGGCTGGTGGGTTCCTTTCGCGGTGATAGATGGCAGTCACGAAGGGGTGGGGATAAACCGAAAAGGTCATAGCCAAAGCAGCAGCCCCAAACCCAAAAGACCGTGTCAAAACAATAGTTATAGTACTAGTATGGTAATAGTTATAGTTGTGGTATGTCAAACATTATGTTATAGTGGAAGTACATCATCATTGAGAACATTATACTGAACCATGACAATCCGCAAGCGAGAATGATTACTAAATTGAAGTTAATCTCTTCAAATTAAACAAGTACATCATTAAAAAGAAGGCATAAAACGTTTGCACAAATACGGCAATCATGTATTATTATATCTTAAACATTTCAATTTATAAAATTGCTTATGAACTTTTAAACGCGGTATCGCTTCATTAAGACACTTATTTCTTCCGCAAGGGATTGACAGCATTATAGGTTAACAATCAAGAGAAGGTTCTTTAAGATAAGCAGGGAAAAATAATTAGTACGATTTACTTTCATGCATTTTCATTACCGTCACAAACACGGGCTCTTCGCGATACGCCTGGATGAAACCAGGTATTTTGAGGAAATCTGGGCAATACTCTTCTCCAATTAACATAAAGCCATGTCGGCTCATTATAATAGTGTGATTAGAAAAAAATTATATGATTTTCGAAGTTATCGGCTTTTTGCAAAACGACGGCGATCTTCGCAATAATCTGGATGTTTTATTAGTCTACGTCACGTATATATTACAATAAATATTGCTTCATATTTGATTACGTCACATTTAACAATCCAAATTGTACTAATTACATTTCACAAATGTATTTCAGTGTTTATTTCAGTTCACTGACATATTTACTACGGGTGTTTATACAGTTTCATAATTTGGGGTTGCCTAAAAAACCACTTCCTTATTGTGCTGCGTGGGTTCGATTCCCAGAATACGTTTACATTCCTTAAGCGAATTAGATTCACTCAATTCCTTTTCCCTCCGCGGGAAGGTATGTGAGCATCAAAGGTTGGGGCGAGCCGCAACGACAATTTTATTTTTGCGTAACAAATTAGCAAAAATAAAGCGACAAATTTTGAGTTTAATTTCAATATTGTTTGAAAACTTTGCTTTTGTAACATTACGGAGCTTGGTTCCTCTCACGAAGACCAAGCGGTTACATCCTACACATGGGTTTGCCTGCTACGCAAGCCCAATGTAGCACCAGCAATTAATGATAAAGGCCGGTCCACAATAGCCGGAGAACGGAATCGGCGACGCAAAGGCGAGGGTGGGTTCGGAAAACCGATATACGTGTACTTCACAATAAACGTCAACTGGAGGAGGCATAGTGCTTATTATCAGAAAGTTTAAATTCTAGTGATACGTTATTGATTATGTTTATATTTTGTCCCTGCCTAGCCAGTTCTAAATATTTCGCAAAGTAAACTGATGTATCTTAAAATGAATAATGAATGTTAATGAGATCTCATGACATTTTTCAGCCACAAACTGCAAACAATTGGCCTTTATATACTTCATTGTAATTTTATATATTTCATTGTAAATACACATTGCATTTTTTTAAATTTGATATAAGATGATCGCCTGTGATATAAATAAAGTGGTGCATAAAGAATTAACACAAAAGTAGGGAGAAACATTTTGCAAAGCCAAAAAAATGGACGTACTTAGAGATATAGATGTTTAGATGAAGGAACACAATTGAAAGAAGAGGACAAAAATTATAGAATGTCAAGAGGATCATTAATGATGCATCAAAATACTTCATCACAAAAACTTGACCGTTCTGTGAATTAGATGATCATGGGTGCTTCCTGCAATAACAAATGTGTCGCATAAAAATTATTCAATGGAAGTGGAAAAGATTTTAGTAGAGTAAGGGATACAAAATTTCAACTATTCTAAGTTAGTTTTCCATCTTCCAGACTGTGCCCCGACTCTGAATACTGTAAGGTGAGTTACGAAAAATTTTATTACGCATAATGGGTAGACAAAAAATATCTTGCAGGTAATAAGCCTTTTTGTTGACGCCATGTGTTTTTTTAAAAACAATTTTCTGTGTTTATAATTATGTGATGCTTTTCGTTTCTGAATTAAGGTGAATATTCTACTATAGTACACTGCAGCACGTCTACAGGTTTTCGTAAATATAAAAAATTTCAATTAAATGTTCAGAAACGGGCTTAACTTTGCGTTCACTGTGAATAGTGATTGTATTGTTCTGCAGATTGCAAACCTCCCGCATTTCAATAATCTTTGATAACAAGTACAGAACGACATGAAACAATATTTCGAAGTTTTCTATTTTTATTGTATATTTGATTTTTTTGTAGTTCTTTTATGCGATATAATCGCACAGGTTCTGCTAGTTCATTTTAATTTATAAATAAGAATTCACTGGAACGTTTTTCTATGGAAAATGTTCGTTAGCTGGAAGACAACATTAGTTCAAGAGCACTAAAGATTAAGTGTCCTAACTCCTAATGTTTAGAGTTCTTATTGTGCGGTACATTGTATGTGTTTAAATTACGTGGATAATTATACTCACAGCGATACAAATAATGTATTGTGTTACCAACTTCACATGTTGATACTCATTTCTTTTTTTCCAGTGAACGTGTTGTACATCTCATACAGCCTGGCAGACACCTCGCGGTTCGAAGTTGCGCAATCGTTGAAGAATTACACCGACCTCAATGATGAAGAAAAGGCGGAAGCTATGCAGAAAGACATGGGATTGACCTTCTGCATAGCTGGCTTGCTGTCTTTTCCCGTGTACGGACTCATGTTCGAAAAGTTTAGCCGCAAAATTTGCGCGTACGTCATCGGCGTTACCTACATCATCAACTCCATTCTCCTGTTGTGCGCAAATTCATATGAACTGTTTCACGTGGCACAATTTTTCTTAGCCATCAGCGCCGCTGGAACAACGATTATCTCCCCCATCTACATCAGTGAAATCGCTCAGGACGATATCAGAGGAGCACTACAAGCGATCAACGTTCTTATGTACAACATAGGTTTCCTCCTCGCCACTTTCGTCGTCCACTTTTTCCCTAAGTACTCTCTGTCGTGGGTAACGTTTGTTCCTACGGCCATCGTGTTCCTCTGCTTTCACTTTTGGCTTCCGGAAACTCCCATCTACTTCCTGCGGCGAGACGACACCGACGAAGCCGGCCGCTCTTTGCAGTGGCTGCGGGGAAGTGCGGCGGACGTGCCTCAAGAGATCGAAAACACCAAAGCCGTGCTGAAAGCTACACGCTCCGACTCGCAAACTACCACCACCGTCTTCCAGGACTTTTTCCAAAAGCGCACCCTGGGCTATTGCGCCGTGGTTACCGTGCTGTGTCTAACGGACCACTTCTCTGGTTTCACGGCGACAGGGTTCGAACTGGAGGCTCTTCTGAAAACGCTCAACCCCAACCACTCCAGCGCGAATGACTTCCTTCAGTACATCATCTACATGGTGGGCAACGTCATTGTGATCCTCATTTGCGACCGTAAGGGGCGAAAGACGGCGCTGTTGATTTCAACAGTTGTGTGCGCGGTAACGCTGATAGCGAACGGAATCTGCTACCACGTGATACAGAACGCCGCCAACCCAGACGAGCCGAAGGCTGACGAAGGATTCGGAGCAGCCAAAATATTTGCTCTCATCTTCTCCCTCGTCCACGTTATGAGCTACAACATTGGTATTGGCGTTCTGTCGGCGGTGGTCATAGCCGATATCTTCCCTCCGAAAATGCTCAACACACAACTCGCCATCAACGGAATCATCTCGTGGCCTTTCACCTACGTCATCAACGACCTCTTCTACCGGACCGTGAAGGCTGCGATCCACGCGTCGGGGGCGTTTTGGGTGTACAGTGGCTGTTGTGCGGTCGGCGCCCTGTTCATTTACAAATTCCTTCCGGAGACGAAGAGTCGACCCGCAGGATACCTCCTCATGGACAATCGCGACGACGTCGTTCTCGGAAGGTTTCAGTGAAAATTTGGTTCAGAGAAAAGACGATTAAATGTTTTAGAGATACTCTTCAAAAATCAAGAGGCGTTTGTGTGATAGATTCTCCAAAGTAAAAGTTGTGTCAATTAATGGACTTTTAACAAGTATGCCTCTTAATATTGCCTTTTTGGATTGAGCTAAATGTTTGATGCTAATTGCCCCAGATCTTTCAGATGAGCTTCATCATTGTATGCTCCATTGGGTTCACGAGAAAATGCTTTTCTAATGACATGTATATTTTTCTATAAATGTAATCTTACAGAAAAATTGTTTTCGATCATAAATAAAACCAATAAAGAGAAAATCCCTTCATATGTGCATCCTCCAGGATCCTATTAGTCTCCACTACACTAAATTTTAGACCTAGAACCGAAGAACCGAAGCAATAAGTCTTTCAATAGATTTTTCGCCCACGAGAAGACACGACCGAGAGAAATATTGTCATGATACTTAAAACATTTAATTTAGCAAACTATCTCCGTTTCTCGGTTGCAAGCGTAAATTCAACGTTAGGTTTAGAAAAAAAACTCTTAATATTTTTAAAGCTTTTTAATAAAATACTATGCAATGGAACTTTCTGTTCTTCTTCCTTTCCAGTATTAGGTATGTTTGTTCCGGATTCATCATCCTGTCCTCGGTCGACCAGGATTTCGTCTGGAAGCGTTCTAATATTGAAGTTCGTAGTATTTCTCCTGCCGACATACGTAGTACCAGTTCCTTCCATTTTCTTTTGTAATTATTTACAATTTCTGCAAGAAAATAAATGACATTACACATTTAGTATGAGTTAGAGACGCCTTTGGACATCCAATATTGCTTTAAAGTCATAAAGTGTTTTAAAGGAAAAATGGGTAGTAAGCATTATAAAACCATAATTTAAGGAAAGGTGAAATATTTGCTGTGATTTACGATGATGTTATAGAAATCTTCAATTAATTTACAAGGAAAATTAGTATATAAATTCAGGAAAAATTTGACTTCGTGAATTCATTGCCAACATCGTTTTTATTTGGTAAATTCCAAATAATTACAATTTTCACATTTAAAAAAAGTAGTAAGTTCTCAGGGTCGATATGTTGGTGCGATCGAATTATGAATGTACAGTTGTTAACAGGGAGCCTATTGGAAGAAACATCCTGGATTTTCACAGCTCGAAACTTTTGGAATTGAAAACCAATCTTACTTTAAAATACGTGAACTATCGAACATGGTTGATTGGTTGGTTGTTAGTGATTCCGGGCACGTCAACTACAAAGGTCAGTAGTCCCATAAGCATGTTTTTCGTTTGAAAGTGGTGGTGATCTTATCGAAGACACAATTTTAGGAATTATTAGAAAATTCGTAAAATAATCTGTAAATTCTTGTATGTGAATCTTAAAACAGTAATACGCCATCATCTTGTAAAATATTTCCATGTATTTTATCTAAAACAATTCGCCGAGTACTTGAAAACAAAAATATTTTACTTCTTTTCTTTATGTCTGTTGTTACAAAGTATTTATTTATTACGATCTGAGTTCTCGGTTCTCTTCTAATGTAACGATTACTCCCAACGTGATTGTCTTCTAATTTCAAACAAAATATTTTTTTAAAGAAACGCTGTCCTAGAAAACCATGTATTTATCCAATATTTTTGACTTAATACATACTGCTTAAAACATACCAGGTGGAGGAAATGCAACTTGTGTTCTCAGATAAGCAAAATTAAAAAGTATGATCTCAAATGGACGTTGCGGAAACACGTTTTATTTTTAGAGGATTGTCCCAATAAAACGAAGAAAAGTATACATCAAACAAAATAACGAATTCGCAATTTGCCGGACACACACAAGAACTAGTAGGTCTCTTTCATTTTATTTCATTAACGAGCTTCATATAGAAGAATCCGCCTAAGAATGAGCCAAAGTGGCAGTTCGATAAACAAATGTACATCACATGTAAATGAGAGAAGTATCCCTCCGCCGCGACAGCTGTTCCGCCACGCCTGTTCGTAAAGTGTTTAGGTTTGTACAGTGCTCCCGTTAAGACATCGTGGCTTCGTATGGTTCACAACAGTGTAATTATATTTAAAAAAAACATACCGCAGAACGAAACTCTCTTGATCACAGCTCGCCACCTTTCAGCACAGGTGCGAGGAGCACGTCTCTTACATTCAAGACTCGGTTTTGAAATCAACATAATACATATCACACAAAAAGTATTTTCAATGTAATATTTATAAAAACAAGAATTTTTACAGAAGAGGACAAAGCACTGCTCTTCCTAACTTCAATTATTTCTCTGTCGCACTAGATTTTCGTCGGACGAGGACATCATAAAAAGAAGAGTCGAACCCATTTACAAGATTACCAACTGCAAACGTACGAATGGAAGAAGGGGAGTACAATGGGATCAAGGACTCAATAACCAAAGAATCTTACGTTATGTTGCTAGCACTAGCTGTCAACACTGTCCATTTTTATAAAAAATCACTATATATCCACGGCCTTTTCCCAGTGTCTATGCTCTTCCCTTTCTTAGAATCAACATTCTTATCAACAATTCGAGTTATAAAATGTTTTCAGTCCGGCAGGAGTGTATAGTATGAATACACAATAGTATGAATTTGTAATTACCAACAGGTCATTCACAATAGTAGGTTTAAAACAAATTACCAAAAACAAATTGTGCCCGAAAATCATGAAAATATACATCAAGCTGAGCCGTTTCTTCAGTAACTGGTGGAATTTGATTGATAGTGGATGTATACTGGACGGAAGTGAAAATGGAGGGGAGGAATCACCTTTGTTTTACTTAAGAATTATTCATCAGTTTTAGAATTATTTATTCGGAAAATTGGCGAAAATTGGTATCAGTCTTGTTGGTATAAAATGGTAGAGTTTTTGGGAGACTGGTTTGGTCTCGCCTTTCATGCATTATGAACACTTTTTAGACGGAGCAAAAGTAAAATAAACGGAGCCACACATTTAGAATTATTTTATAGATAGGCGACGCTATTTCAGGACAGATCCTTCAGAGCAATGTTTTCGATAATGTCATATCAGGATATTATCTTGGTTTTCGTTTGATTGTTTGTTGGTTACTCGAAGGGTAGATAGATTCGATTGACGAGAGGCACGGAGAAGTAAGGAATTAGAAGAAGTCTAAAGTTTTATTTAATTCAATTGCGATTGGTTTAGAGTTAAAAGTGTCCCTGATGCTAATTAATTTGCTTTATTTTGGACGGCGAGAGCTGTGTTCGCCTTTGGGTCCGCGAGATGGAATAATAGACTGTGTTTTTGTGAAATGCCTGCACATCTATCAGAGGTTATTGGAATTTTATTGATCTCAATTAGTGAAAAATGAAAACTTTGAAATTGGTTAAGTTCTTATGATTTATTCATTCTGGGTGTGACTTTGTTAAGCTCCGTTTTAAGAGGTTGAAGGCGCTATTATTTCTTAAGTTTATTTTGTTTGTTCAGTACGCGATATATGTCCTGCAGAAGAAGGACGTTTTCGAAGGGATATTTTATTTTCCATGTTTCATCTGTCTGCGTGAATGAACTAAAAATCTGGAGATGTTATTTAGTCGTGTGTAGGAGACGCTATACGGCAGGAGATGCCGTAGGAGATGTTACTAAGGGGCGAGAAAGTATGTGCGGATTCAACACAAATAGTTACTCTCTTGCTATTGCTACGGCGGTAGAGACATAAAAGTGTAATACTGCGCAAAAAACGAATTTTCGGCACAAAAACTCTTCTTACAGGGCTCTGGTAACTACAATATGGAAAAATACATTTTCTAAATTTAGAGAATTATCGTCTAACACGTGGTGTAGCCTGAATCTATGCTTTGTGGGTCTTTGATACCGAAAAATCCATTGATCCATTTGCTGGCACTCCCTTTGTCTGTGAAAAACGCTACTAATCTCTTCAACAGATATTTCTCCAAAACTGATATTCCCCAAATGATCTGGCTAAGATGTCACGGCTCCTTGAATTTAAGCCGATGTTTTAGTTTTGGAAGGTACTTTACATGAATCCCTTGGGATAAGGTCAAAATTATCAAAAAAATGGGGAACAAATTTCAATTTTCTTTTCTCTTAACAAAACATGTTCCATAAAGATAGATTTTTAACTTCGATCATGCACAATTTTTCGAAAATTTGAGTATTTTTCGCATAATTTTGAGTAAAAAATAGGCAATTTTTAATTTCGACTAAACATTTTTTTCTCAAAAACGAATCAATCGATTGTATAGCTAGTAAATGCCAATAAATAATATAAATAATACTGTACTGATAGCGTTGGAAAACAAATGTATATATATATATATATTAGTAATTATTAAACACTATGGTATTGTAATTCTACAAAGATATAAAAGAATTCATTTTCCTTTTCCTGAACGGAAAGCAGCCGTTATTATCGTATCTGTGCGGTGTTACGATATAACAAATGGGTAACAACAACTAACAATGAACGCTCATTCAAAAATCTGCTTTTGATGAATATATTTCATTAAGAAAAAATGTATTTTGATAATTGTAGTTTTAGAAAGACGCCAAATAAACTTTTAATTTTTTCAATGGTCGAAAAATGAGGGTGTCAATCAACCAGCATGAAAGCTCCACAATTTTTTTAAATTTTCTTCAGACTATCCAGCAAAATAAAATTTATGAAAACCGATGGAGCCGTTTAGAAAAAAACTTGTATAAGCAAAAATTAAAAATTGCCTATTTTTCGTGCAAGATAACGCGAAAAATTCTCAATTTTCTGAAAAATTGTACATCAGTTTGCAAAAATCAGAGCTTTCCATCAACATGAGACCTGCGCTATTCTCTTACCCGTCTTCAGGTCATTAACAAAATTAAATCAAAATCGATGGCGCCATTTGTTTGAAAATGTCCCAGGGGCCTCATGTAAAATACCCCCAAAATTAAAATATCGATCCAAGGGGCCGTGACACAAGCCATGTCGATCAGGAGATATACATTTTGGAGACATTAGACTGAACAGTTTAGCCTCTAACGTTGTTCACAAAGGAATAGACAGAAGTTTGGCCGCAAATAAACTTTTCGGAATCAAGGACCCTCAAAACATGGATTCTGGATACATTACATGTTAGAGGTTTTTTTCTGAATTTAGCAACAGGTTTTATCAACATTTTCGCTACCAGAGTCCATGCAAAGGGTTTTTCTGCCGGAAATTTGCCGTTTTTGCGTCCAGCAATTCATAACTCTCTCTTCTTAAGACGTTCCTTCTTAAGCGCTAGAAAGTAAAAATACAATTTGTTTTCTTAATGAGATGTGGTTATCAAAAATATATCTTCAAATAAGGTCAAGTTAAATTTACTGAAAATATGAGCATTTTCGAGGTAATTATAAAACACAAATATTCACCCACTTCGAATTTAATGCGCTTCGTGAACTTCCAGTCACTTTAATGCTTCGTAAATTAGAATTTGTATGTTATTTCATATTTCTTCGTTTGTTTCTTTCGACCTTTTGTTATAAATTTACACATTAATCATTTAGAAATTATTTAAAACCTATTTGAAATACTGCTAGCTTTTATGGAATATCAGATTGAAATGCCACAATGATAGGGAGCTCATTTTTAAGGATTAAGTCTTATTGTTGGCACATGATTTACCTGTGTGAAAGCAGTTTGTGTTGTTATTTGCTTGAAAATACTTATATTTTGCCAGAAATGTTGTAAGATTTGTAATGTAATATAATAGGAAGGGTTTTGCAGTATTTAAGTACTTGTATTTAAAATACGTATTTTGAATACATTTTGTATTTGAAAACTATATTTTTTAATTTTTGGGGGAATATATTTTAGAGATGTATTTAAATACATAAAGTAAGTATATTTAAAAAAAGAAGTATCTAAAGTACTTCAAATACAGACGAAGAAGAAGATAGTTTAGAACGAGGATAGTTTCTTTTTGTTTGATTCTGCTAGTGAATGCAACTCATTGAAATTAAAATAAAAGTTCCTTTCAGCTGTTGAATTTGGATTATCTTCACGTTTAAATGATAAATCTAAATCATTAAAAACCCTGGAAAATTTCCCGGCAAAAAAGCGTCTCTTCGTTAAAACACTAGTTTATGTTCCAAGATTGCTTTGCATCTTCCATACATCGCCAACTGGGGTTTTATTGTCCGATAATGTGTTTGAAAAAATTCAGTTGTTTCAAAAGGAAATTCCATTTCTTTTGGAGACATATTTCTAATATTTTACATTTGAATATATTTATGCATATGATTACAATACATTACAGTAGTTATTGTTCAGAAATTTGTGTGACTGTCAATTACTAATTTTCTGCAATTGATAATATATTGTGGCAATAAAAAATATAATACTACGTAATTATATATTTACAGTTTTTTAGTACAATGTACTTCCTGGAATTAATTCTTAAATGTTGAAAAATTGTAAACGTAAAATCTCCCCTGCAGAATAAAAGGTCATAGTAAGCGCGAAGGCAGAGGTTCGCGCGTTATTTAGAGGATCGGGACGGAAATGTGTAAGTCAGCAACACCGTGGCTTAGCGCACTTCATTCAAAGCGAGCGACAAGTTTCTTAACAAGAGTTCTGACACTTCCCTCGGTGTTCTGGGAGAAATGGAATGACCCTCACTCCTAGAAAATCTTACCTTTGATATCAAGCAGATTTTCAGCAAAGCTAAAATTGGTTGGATATAATAAAAATATAAATTTTGATGAATAGAAATTAGAATGTAGAAAATGTTTTGGTATTTTGCTACTTTCCAAAAATCAGACTTTTCAACGAAAATGAGGCCAGCACCATTCGCATAAATGTTCTTCAATCCATAGAACAACAAAATGTAATAAAAAACATTGGAACTTTTTTTTTGTATTGAAAGTGTCCCAGGATCATCATGTAAAGGTAAAGGAATAGCTAAAATTTCAAATGATGAAACATCCATTAATTTTTATAACTTATTCAAAAAATTTACATAACTAGTATAATTAGTATTACAAAACTATTACTAATTGTGAGAAAGTAGTTGGGCTACAGAGTACAAAAAAGTGCAGTGCTGCACGAAAAAAGTCGCGAATTTTTGAAAGAAAAACTCTTATTACAGAGCCTTATAACGAAAAGGGTTACTAAATTGAGTAAAAATATTTTTTAACATGTGTTGGTACCAGAATCCATGTTTTGTGGGTCCTTGATACCGAAAAATTGAATGACGGCAAACGTATATCTGTCCGTCCGCCTCTTCGTCTGTGTACAACGCTAGCGGCTAAACCGTTCAGGCGGTTTTCACCACAATTGATATTCATTAATCGATGTCACAGGTTATACGTCCCCTTGAATCTGAAATGGATATTTTAATTTCGGGGGATACTTTACACGAAGGCCCTGGGACATTTTTAATATTATCAAAAAAATGGCTCCATCGTTTTTGATTAAATTTTGCTGTTGGATACATAAGGACGTTTAAGAGAATGGCGCACGTCGTATTTTTGTTGAAAACACTTCATTTTTCAAAAATTTCAAGAGTTCAAATTCTTTTCGACCCTTTCTACAACTAAAATTATGAAGGTAAAGATTTGTTATATATATAGTACGGAGTTGCTCTACAGCTGTCGCCGTTTCTTCGCTCTCAGTCTCCATGCCTGATTTGTTACCAGAATGAAATCTGCTCCTTAAAAGATAAATTTCAAAATAAGTTCATGTACAATTTTTCGAAAATTTGAGTACTCTGGCGTAATTTCGCGTGAAAATACGGACGAGAAAGTACATGCAGTTTTAACACCACTAGTTTATGTATTTTTGTGTTGGAAGAAGAAGGTGATAATAAATCGTCCTAATTCAATTAAAATAAATTCTTTCAAGTCTCTTATAGACAACACTTTGTTCAGATACAATGTTTTTAACAAGTTTTTTGATGTTAAAAGTTCGGAAATGTGTCCCAAATCTTTCAAGAAGTTGGGTAACTTCGGCTACTGAAGAAATAGTATGAAAGTGCGAAATTACCCATGCTCACCACATTTCAGACGACCATAAAAAGAGGAATTAAACAGAGAAAGAAGTCTGTGAATGAGTCATTCAATGCTATCTCTGAGTTCTCTCTTGTTTGAACCTCAGGATTTTGTTCAAAACATCTCTGTTTAAAGGCAAAATCCTGGTGAGCATAGTCCAGATTGCCAGTTAAATATTATCATTTTTCAGGGTGTACAGATTCAGTAGATGACCTCAATATCCAGGGACAGTTCTCTTGAGAACCAGAGGTCCCAGTGTTTCTTTTTCTTATCATCAAGTTTCTTCCTTCACGAAACTTTTATAGGACGGAATGAAGCAAAGTCGAGGAGTTTGGTGAAGTATATTTGGTTTGAGGGTTGAATAATAAATACAAAAGTGTTACTTTCGCACAATCTTATTACCTAGAGAGAGGCTTAATACCTTCTTAAAAAATTGAGAAGCTTTGCGGAGGGCTGGAAAATTGAAATGTTGCCCTTTTCTATCTATTCTAATACATTTTAAAGATATATTGGATTGTAATTTAGGAATACACGCACTCTTTATTCTTTTGCATTTTTAGCATGGCTGAAGTTATCTGGAAAATGTACCATCCTGAATGTAAAACTACCTCAAATAAAACTAAATTAAGTTAGTATTTGTTAATTAACTAACAATTATTGTTAACTGTATTATTTTCCCCTTATTTTATGAGGTACTTATCCAGTGACAAAATACCCCAAAAATATTTTAATAAATATTTATAAATCTTATCCCAATAATTTTAGTATTAAGTGAATACGGTGAAATCTAATCGCACTTACCAGTGTATTACAACTAACAATATCATCCGAAATTACCAAACTAACCTCGACGATAACGTTTCCACGTACATGGCCAACATTACAAACAGTGCGTCGACCCACGCAAACAAATCGATCATTGTAGAACATACGAGATGCCTACATTATCTTGGCTGTCAGCAGCACATCGCAGAAAAAGCATTCCCATCCCAGAAAAGGAGTCATGGTTATCTCGACTACTATGTGGGGTTATAAAACAAATCTTGTATTCATGCTACCAGCAGCAGCGGCGGCGGCGGCGGCAGGGAGTGGGTGCGGCGGCAGTAGAGCTTGCAAGAACGGAGAACTCACTTCGCGTGCGTTGTGCAGTGCTTGGCAGCTACGCCGTGCGTAGGTCAGTGCGTCGCGCAGTCATTCGCGCCGTCCGTCCGTCAGTCCGTCCGTCCGTCTGTCCGTCTGTCCGTTTGTCCGCCCGTCCGCCCGTCCGTCCGTCCGTCCGTCCGTCCGTCCGTCCGTTTGTCCCTCCGTCCGTCCGTCCGTCCGTCCGTCCGTTCGTCCGTACGTCGCCCGGGCCGGCGTAGCCCGCAATGGAGGACGCCCCGTCCACGCCTGCCCCAGCGCATCCGCGCGGGGGCGTCCTCGCCGGCGCCAAATCGCATTGGCCGCAGTTCGCTGCCACGACGGTCGGTGAGTGCGTCGCATTAGCACTAGAAACCCAGTAATTCTCTCCTTGCCTCTAAGGCAGGCACCAGCCAAAATGACAGTTTCAAAAAAAAAAGGTTTTTTTGTTTGGAGAAAGCTGAATGGAATTGCATGCAATAAGAGTATATTGTAGCGTCACGGCTTGGCAGCAGCAAGCCGAGTGCAAGGTAGAGGGTTGAGGGATCTAAAGGTAGACGCCCAAACAAAGAGGGACTTTCCGACAGGAAATGGTCCGCGGGCCAGGCAGCGCCAGGGAAAGGCTCTTTTCACCGCGCGGGGTGGGGGAGTAGTGACGTAGGAGGTCAAGTGACCTGAACCTATAAAGACGCCGCGGCGAGACGGTGCGAACGGGTAACGTTTTCTGGTTTCCTCGTGGCTAAACCACAAAAACTTTGTTGCCCAGGCTGGTGCGGAGTGCCGATGGCACGTGGTTGTTCGACCGAGTTCCGACCAGGGTGATGTGTTCTTCGAAACACATTCGGGCAGATCGTCAATCTGCGGGGCACACCAGGTGCCAATCTACCGACGCGGCCTTGCCGGCTGGTCGTAGGCGGTCGCCGCAAGGCGCATGTAGGGAGAGGAGGGCGGCAGTGGTAGCTCTGGCAAACCGCCTTAGAGTGAGAGTTGTAAAAATGTACATTGGTAAATAAAACTTGTATATACTCACTCGTGTCTGTTTCCTTGTGGTGTAGATCACTACACACGACGTTACAATATTTTGGGTTTGTAAAATATATTTTTTTGTATTCCAACATTATAAATTACCTTTTACGTTACAAGAAATCGTTTTTTAAAATGACGGTTTACGGCACAGATTATGACATATTTGCCATTTATGGCACAAATAATTACGTCATTCAGCCAATCGCAGCGAGAGAATCTTCGGTGGACACGGAACATCCGAAGTGTATGTTATTCCGTTCTTAAAAGAAATTTAAAGAAAAATTTGGGAACCGTTTTTAAGAAAATTTATAAAATTTCCGGAGGTTTTCATGTAAAGTACGGAAAGTTAACGAAAGTTTTTCAAAATCTCAAAACTTCGAGTCAGGAGGACAGGGACTTCAAGACAGACGGACGTTTTGAAAAGAACATTTTTTTCGGTATCAGGGGCCCCAAAACGTGTATTTTCGTTGAAATCTCGAAACAAGACCTGCACAGGTCCTTTGCACAATTCACCAACAAAATTTAACCAAAAAATTCAGAGCAATTTTTTAACTTTTTCGAAAATGTCGCTGGGGCTTTGTGTAAAGTACCCCCCAAAAGAGAAATATCGGTTTCAAATTCAAGGGGCCGCGATGTCCGTCAGATCGATTGGGGAATATCTTTTTTGGAGAACGGCTGAACGGTTTATGTGCTAGCATTGTGCACAGACGGACACACAGACGTTTTGGCCTCAATCGACTTTTCGCTATGAAAGATATACAAAACATGGCTACACCACGTGATAGAGGAGTTTTCCCATCTAAATTTAGCGGCTGGTTTTATCCACTTTTTCTTTAGCAGGGCCCTATTTGTGACGAAAATTTACAGTGTTCCGGCACACGATTACAATACTTTCTCTTCTTACGTTAGTAAAAGCGAGGAAGTAAAAATGCATATAATAAATGCTATAAAAGTGATCATTGTGGAGAGAAAAAACTAAACCTTGCAGCAAAACTATCCTTGATTTGTATCAATGGTTGCTGTTGCCCGAACAAACTGGAGATTGCAGCTACATCGAATGATGGAAATGTAATTTCCAAAATACAGAACACTATCATAATAAAATGTAAGCCACTCATGTAAATTAATTAAAACTAAGTTTCATAAAAATGTGTATTGAAATATTACTTACATATTTTTATGCGTAGTGTCCTTGTCGGGTATATTCACCTCCTGCGTGAGTAGTTCTGGCTATGATTTTCAGTGTTGCACAAGCATTATTGTTTGGACATGTTTTATACAAATAAAATTATTTTATTTCGAAAACTTCACTACCCTGGTATATAAGGCAATAATGAAAGAGTTTCGACACACATTCGTATTCACAAGAACGCTCGTAAACTACTGGCCGGCCAGCTGCAAGACACACTGGCGTCCGCGAGACACAAAAAAGGTCTTCCATCCAGAACGGCCAATTTTGCACAAAGAACTCATCAAACGTACAGTACGTTTTGAAAAAAAACTATTACCAAATGAAAACAAATTCTTTCAATATCAAAAACAATACATTGAAATCTGTTAATAATCGACTAAACATGTTTACTTTCAAAAACACGCGAAATTCATAAAATAAAAAGTTGCGACTAGAGCCAGACGAAGACAGAATATTGGTATTCCCCTCGGTCAGCTCGGTCGCCGCGCAGCGCCACACAGCGTCACCGAAGGTAGTGTGCGCCCCCGAGTTCACGTGAAGAGCCAAAGAGTAATTGCAGTAAACCCATTAATAGAGCCACGAAATTGGTGCAATATTTGTGAGTCACCAGACGCCGGAGAGAGCGCTAGTCTTTGCTTTCAAAATGATTTCATATACATCGAAATTGATGCAATATCTTTAATATTGAATGTTGTTAAAAGGAATATGTATAGTTCTAACTCAAAACGTATATGCGACCAACAATGTTGCTAGGTCAGCTCAACAATATTAAGATTTTACAGATTTATAGCGACATATCCTTCAAACTCGATTACCAAAAAGTGTTAAATGAGTTAATATTAAAAAATCAAAGTGCAGCGCTGTTTCTGCATTGCAAATATGAACTCAACGGAAGTTACACAAAATAAACGTGATAACAATTTAATGATAAATATGACGATTTGAAAATATCTTTTTTATATATTTTCTTCATACACATTTTCGGCGGGCGATGGAGGGGGGAAAGGAGGGGTACCATCACCCGGATCAACCACCAACTCGGACTTAATACCAACCACCGACCCTGCTACTAACACCATTACCAGAACTATGAAATGTGAGTTTAACCTCAGTACGCATTAAACACATTAGTATTAATCATTTTTTATTCCTAATGACCGTAAGAACCCAAACATATTACATTGGTGGAGGACTATTAGTAATTTGGTGCAACTTCCGAATAAAAATGAAAATTTAATGCAATTTCAAAACCTTTTAGCACTCTTATTCTTTGATTAAGAAAAATAATTTATAAATTAAGGTTGTAAAGTGTTTTATGAACTTTAATATTGCATGTAACCATTTTTGCGCTAAGTTCAACCATTATAAAGTTAGTTACTTCGTTGAAACCAAAAAATGCCAAAAATGTTCGCGACCAAAATGATCGAAACTTTTCCCTAATTATTTTGAGGTGGAAAACTTATGGTTTCCTTCCATAATACCATTATAACGCCATTTCAACAAAATAAAACAATAAAATCTTCTACCCTACTTTTTGAAAGGTAAAATGACTTATCGACTGGCCTATTAGGGGAAATTATCTTAATTTTAAGCATTGTTGAGAAGAGAGTTTCAATTAAAAACACACATTTCTTAAAGTATTGTGAACAGTTCATATAATGTATCCGGTAAATGCACCTAACACGAGCTACATTAAGTTTCAGAAACTTTTGAGAATGGCACCTACGTGACACCTACTAATGGTTTCCCGTATATATCAACAGTGAATTATTACCCATTAGTTTACATTTCTTTGAAACATTTTTGTGGTAGTACAATGTTAATTGCTCTTTCCTGTGTTTCAGTATTTCTCCTTGTCATCTCACACTACTTGGCCTGCCACATCCAAACAGATATGTACGACAATGTACCGGCGTGGCCGCGAGTGGAAGAAGGGGACGCCATGATTCTGAGTTGGACAATCGCTGGATTACTGTCCTATCCGATCTTCGCTTTCCTGCTCGAGAAGTTAAACCGCAAATTCTGCATCTACATCGTCAGCGCCATCTTAACCGCCGCATGCATTCTTTATAAAACTGCCAACACGCTGTTTCTGTTCCATGTCGCTCACTGTCTTTCGGCTATTGGAAACACTGGGGCGCTTATCGCGTGTACCATCTACGTCACTGAAATCGCGCACAACAATCTTAGAGGTTCTCTCCTATTGTGGGGAGAATTAATGTACCGTGTCGTCCACGCCTCTGTGGTTTTCATAGAAGCATTCATCTCTAAGATTCCGGTTTCTTGGTTTGCAACTGCGCCTTCAGTGCTCGTGGTTCTGTGTTTTCTGTTTTGGCTGCCGGACACACCAATCTACTTCTTGCGTCGAGGGAACAGAGACGGAGCAACACGCTCTTTGAAGTGGTTCCGAAGAGGTAACACCCCCGAAAGCTTAACGCAGGAGATGGAAAATATTGAAGAAGTTCTCAAAGCCACACGATCGGACAGCGTCTCTTCCAGCAACATTTTCCAGGATTTCTTTAACAGACACACGCTGCGGTACACCGGGATCGCTCTTGTGCTATACTTAACAGAGAATTTCTCTGGTGATGCTTCAACTACATGGGTTGTGTGTGTGCTACCAGAAAGACTGGGTGGAGACTTTCATGACATAGTGTATAGCAGTGCAGAGGTGATATTTGTCGCAGGTACCTTCGTGGCGTTTTTGCTCTGTGACAAGACAGGACGAAGGACTCTTTTGTTCGCTTCGGCTGTTGGCTGTTCCGTGTGTCTTATCCCTATCGCGATCTGCTCACATGTAATGAGCTCCAAAAATGAAATGTCAATAGAAAAACTTTTTGCGATTGGGTTTGCCATGCCATTTATATTCTTTCTTGCCTTGGGAATTCGCACAGTCATAACGGTAGTATTAACTGACATTTTTCCGCCCAAGATACTACATATTCATCTCGTGATAAGAGGGACATTACATTATTTAGTGAATTTCCTAGCGGTAAACTATATAAATCCCCATTCTTGGGAATTAAAGGTCCTAAATCCTGCTCTGTTCTGGACTTCCAGTGTCGTGTGCACAGTTGCTGCTGTCTTCATCTTCAAGTATCTACCAGAGACTATGAAACGACCTACAGGTTTCGTATTTATGGAGAACAGAAATGATATGCTTCTTAGAAACATGTAAAGATCACTTTTATAAAATACACAAATGAAATTCATACGAATACACATTCTTAACGAATGTATTTCCATGGTGGAACATAAATGTGAACTGGAAAATAATTAAACTGTATATTTAAATTCCAGTGTATCATAATTCATAAATCACATTCTGTTGTACTGTATTAATAGTCTAAGATTGTATTGTTTTTGCTATAAAATAGATTGGTTCGGATTTTTCTTTACGAAAAACAATTTTACAATGAAATGGTTGTTACAACTTAATAATAATTGTAAAAACTTCCTATACTGATACCTGTTGATTTAAAATTTAGTATATAATATTTCTAAGACAATAGATGGAATATCAAATAAATTAAATTTGATTAGAACCAATATAACTCATTATTTTCAGATGGCTTACCATCACCATGACTTTTTTCCATGGATTGTCATGAAGCGGAGTATTTTCGTATATTTCAATTTGATTTTGAAACTTACCATTTAATTGAATGTTTCATTTCCGCCAAACTTATGGTACTCGTAAAATAAGTCAGCTTAAATGATACTTGATGCTTCTTAATATCTATCATGAAGAGTTTGATTTAATGTAGAAAAGATAATATTGTCTAATACAGTTACAACTGCAACACGATGTTGATGTATTCTAGTAACTAATAAGTATCAGTAAGTACTGATGGCATTTCTCACTTAAGCAAACATAACTAACGATGAGAGTACAGTCATTATGGCATCAATTTATTATGTCGAGAGAAAAGAAAAACCTGAATTTCGGCAGTAATATTTCACGGTCACCACTACAATTTAATAATGTAAACGACGTTGCTCGTAGCCTTTAAAATCAATGATGCTATAGACTGGCATAGTCTCTGGCACTAGTTAGTTTCCTATTAATTTGAGTCAGGGCTAACTTTTTGGTTTGGCCCCACACTCTTCCATGCAGCTATTTATATAGTAGACCGGGAGCCAACTAGAAAATCCATGTATGATTAGCTCAAAGCTGAAACGTTTTGAGACGTTAGCCAGGGTTATGTGGAACAAGTAAACGCAAGTACGGAGGCCTGTTGGTGTCGGTGTTGCGCTGCAGAATTTTTTGAATGTGTAAAAATGTAAAACTATGCCATTTGGGAATGAGTACACAGCGCATTCTTGTTGTATATTGTTCGTTAGATAGCGAAAGTGTGAAGGGATTGTATGCCATATCGATTTGGCGTCTCAAACTCTACGTCATATTGAATTCAAAGTGACAGTTTTTTAATGCCTTCTTGTATTACGAGCACAAGGTTCATGTTTTGCTCTAATGGTAGAAAATTCATTTTTATTTTCTGATTACGATCACGCCATACCACTTCGGCGTTTCCACGTAGCCGCCTTATTGATTCAAAGATGTCCAATTGGTCACTAGGTCATGTATCATAGATTCACACCCGAGAAAAATATTGTTTTAAATTATTGTAGTGGTTACAAGGCGAATTTGTAATTGCCAAACTGATTGGATGCCTCGAACGAAAGAAATTAACCACTCAATTTGTAACATCTTAGTAAGTGCGATGGATAACAAGTTCATGTGCCATTCTTGTGTTTTTTAGTCTTATTTAATGTCTGAAATACCGATATACTAGTTAAATGTGGCGTCGCCGACGCTGTAAACGGGTTTAAAAATAGTTTCATGTGTTGAAAATGTCATTCATGCCCAACTTTCTTCAAATGTGTTCTTTCAGTATCAGGCATTGGACTTACCAATGAATCATAACTGATAATGTTATACTCCCGTTCAAAGGTTCTCAATACTTTATGGCACTGTGTTACCTCCATTCGGGATATGAACTTGTATAATTGCAATTTCAAAATTATAATCGCCGTAACAAATACTTGCAGGTTGTTATGCTAATAGTTGAATTTTAGTACAGATGCATTTTAAAGATATTTTGCTAATCTGCACAAAACTGAGCATAGTACATTTGTATTAGCACAAATGCTAAATAAACAAATGCAGATCATTCCCATTTAGTTCCGAAAATTATCTCCCAACATCTTTTACAACTACATTTGATTCTTACCCGTATTTCCTTAAACACTGAAATATTTTTCTCCCCTAACTTTTGGAGAGATTGAAACTGCACAAATTTATTTGTTTTTACTTCTACTTCTGCAATTGCTCTATTAATTATTTTGTATGCGAATCTAGCGATGCATACAAATCTAACATTAAAAGGCGACAGTTTCATATGTTTATGTGAATAAGGTGTTGGCTAAGTTTAATAAACATAAGTTGTGGGACATTTCAAAATCAGTATTGGCACACTTATGTAAGAACGTAAAAGTGAGAGGTCGAATGTGACGTTCATTCATTCTCTAGTATTACATTTTTGTCTTCTCCATATTCACTCTGAAAGTCTTCAAGTTTAATAAGTTCCCAGCCAATACTGTTGGTAAGGTTTCGAAAATATGTTTTTTAAAATACGTTAATTCGAATCTACCTGCAGCGCGTTTTACTTGGTAATTCAACGGTTCACTTAAAGCTGTTAAAATCAGTGTTGCCAACGTCGTGTAAGAAAATTATGGCATATTTTGCTAAAACATTGTTTGGGTACGGGTGTGTAGATAATGCCACCTACATAGATCGATTTTGGAGGCGTTGGTTTAATTCCTAGGATTATCATTAAAATCCCAGGACCAAAACAGGACGAAAAAACAGATCTTTTAGGAAATTGATTTCAATCTTCTGGCCGAATCCGAAAACAAATTATTATTTCCCATCAGGTGACCGTGACGCGTCGAATGACATCTCATACGTCTCGATTGGTGCATGGGAAGTGATCTAGCCGCCAGTAACTGAACCTCACTCATACGCATACCTGCACATCTGCACACACAAGGATTTTACTCGAATACTCTATTCCGTATGTACCATATCAATGTCATGTATCTAGGCGAGGAATAAACCTGAATATTTGTAATATGTTTTTAATATATAATTAAGTTGTAATTATTCTAACTTTAGTATATGTACTAATATTTGAAAAAGAAAGATACTGCGTAAATTCGATGATCATCTGTATTTTAACACTCAGGTATATTTTTTTTCTTTTTGGTCAGTCAATATATATGTTTTCAAAAAAATTCATATGGTAGTGGAACACGACTTCTTACGTAATATTTATACGAATAATCTGATGCGAACAAAAATTTAA